TGCTCCCTCACGGCTCCTGCCAGATGGTCCACGTTTTTGCTCCCTCCCGGCTCCCTGGCAAACGGTCCACATTTTTGCTCCCTCCCGGCTCCCTGCCAGAAGGTCCACGTTTTTGCTCCCTACCGCCTCCCTTCCAGACGATCCACGTTTTTGCTCCCTCACGGCTCCTGCCAGATGGTCCACGTTTTTGCTCCCTCCCGGCTCCCTGGCAAACGGTCCACATTTTTGCTCCCTCCCGGCTCCCTGCCAGAAGGTCCACGTTTTTGCTCCCTACCGCCTCCCTTCCAGACGATCCACGTTTTTGCTCCCTCACGGCTCCTGCCAGATGGTCCACGTTTTTGCTCCCTCCCGGCTCCCTGGCAAACGGTCCACATTTTTGCTCCCTCCCGGCTCCCTGGCAAACGGTCCACATCTTTGCTCTCTCCCAGCTCCCTGCCAGACAGTCCAAGTTTTTGCTCCCTCCCGGCTCCTGCCAGACGATCCACGTTTTTGCTCCCTCCAACTCCCTGCCAGATGGTCCACGTTTTTGCTCCCTCCCAGTTCCCCAGGACCAGCTTAATCTAGGCTCTTATTTGAATCAGCCTCTCCACCTTAATAATATGTAACCTTTACTGAGTGCCAGTCAGTCTCACCCCACCCCAACCACACAGCTGTGGGGGGGGGGGTGATTGTGAGAGGGTGGGGTGCTGGGTGTAGCCGTGCTATAGCTAATACAGACAGTCTTCCACAGCTCCACCATCAGCCAGGGGCTGCCCTTGTTTTATATGAACCTGTCCCCCGAAGAAGAGAAAACAGATTCTTCACTTCTGCTGCTGGGATCCCTGGTCATTTTGGGAATGGGGAGGTGGGGTGGGGGTGTAATAAGATACAGGAGCCCAGCCAAAGAGGTGCCTACACAGCAGATGAATCCAAAGGCAGGGAATTCTGGGAAATTTTTCACATTGCTTATTGTCAGGGAATATTTACTATGACACAGATGGTGCCGCGCTCCAAGCTGCAGCTTTTAGGATCTCTGTTTTCTTTAAGAGGTGTCATGTTGAGGTGACGGCTGTTCCCATGGTGGATTAGCAATGTTTGCTCAATATTATAACATGGAACCCAAACATACTGGCTACATATCGCAGATAAGTTGTATTTGTATTTAAATTTTTTCTTTCTGGTTTTAAACTGGCTGAGTTATCAACATGGTGAAATCTAAAAAAAAATTCCATTTTGGAACTACTCATGTAACCACAGCAGGGATTATAAAGCAGAAAATAACCCGAATTTTGACCCTAATGCCATGTTTAACTGTGTACAAACGATTGCCAATTCTCACTCACATTAAAGAAATTCAGACAGGAGATATTCAGCCATTTGACCTTTTTGGCCCTTACCAGGCACCGTAAAAGAGATATTCGATGAGGCGCAGAGTGACACTTCACACGCGTGGAAGTTTCCAGAGATCGCTGTTGCTTCACAAATCTCTCCAACAGACCCCACCCCCCCCATCAGCGAGAGGAGGGGGAACACGCCCACCCTCTTTTCTCTGTGAACCCCTAACCCCCACCGGATTAAATAACCTCGCGAAGCCGCAGACTTTGGCAAGGCCCCGCCGCATCACTAATGAAATCCAGTTGCCATAACAGTGTTCCCATGGCAACACTCTGGGGCCTAGCGCTCGCTTTTTGGGACAGCTGGAAGCTGTTACATCGACGTGCTCTGAGAAAGTTGCCGTCATTTATTTATTTATTTATTTATTTATTTATTTGCGCGCATCGTACGACTCTACGTTGCCATACGGACCCGGGCCAGAACTCCGCCACTCTCATCCATGTCAGTGGGAAGATCAGTATCCTCAGTTTCCTTTCTTCCCGGAGCTTGGATCTCGTTTAGCTATGGAATTAATCGTGAGCTGTTTTCTTTCACGGCAGTGTCTTTTCAAAGCTTGTGTAACGCCAGGGGGGGGTGTGACGGGGTGACTCTGAAACACCAGCCATCTGAAGGGATCGCACTGTGTCGTTTGCCGATGAACTTTCCTCGCACTGTGAACATGACGTAAAAGAATGTAAGAGAACCGCTATTCACAGAGTGTCTTTAGTGCAACTGAAATTAAACTCCACCGTCTCAGAGAGACCACAGGAAGTGAGTAGTTCCCACATACCAGCATGTGACCTTAGGAGCCTGGCCCGTCATGGCATTATGGGTCATTTTCCCCAACAACCTAATAAATAAGAGATTCAAAGATGTGAATATTATGAAAGGCATGTGACACTAGCTGACCTCTGACCCCCCCCCAGGAAATTACCTCCACTCACACACCATTACAAACATGGGTGGTGCATGCCCACCAACCTCTGCCCTGAACCACATAATTAGTCACAGTAGGGGTGGGGGGGGGGTAATGACCTGCAAGTGTAGGTGAGTCAGGTCAGGGGCCAGGCTGGACCTGTGTCCTCCAAGAGTAGCTTGATGCGGAGACCAGTTTCTCCAAAAAAGCTGAACCAAGAAAGACGGAGAAAAATCTGACGCGGCAAAGCCACATGTCACATGCCATGTGTTTGATGTGGGCTGGGTGGAGTTAACCAATAGCAGACATTGTCCAGAGGTTCCAGAACGAGTTCTGAAGTCCTCTTTCCTCTCTAGGTGACCACTGCAGACATTTAATGGGCCCTGACTGAAGCCTCCTTTGCCTTTATGCTCTACAGCCCAATCCGATGGCATTCCCTGTTTTTCTCTCGCCGTGCCATCAAATCACCTCTGCATCAGGATGACACACACAGAGGATTGGCAGGTCCCATATCCACTCACACAGGCCACACGCTTGAGAATCTACACCTATCTCACGGTGATTACGGACTAAACCCATGACCACCTACAACCACTCTCGCAGTGACCCAGATGTGATATATGGTGCCTCTAGAGGACAAAAAACAAAGTGAAGCTTGATGCTCATGTAACTGGGGGGGCAGGGGGGGGCTTTCTCCAGGGCCAGGCAACCTGGTGCCTGCAAAAGTTTCTGGTTTCTATCCCATCGAGAGCCTTAATAGGAATAATTATTGCCATAGATGTATGTAGGTTGACGTATATGACGTTCTCAGTGTCGTTACCGTCCAGACGACCTCGACAAACACCAGCAGGGCTCTGCCACTCAAATCAATAGAAATTCATCACTCACTGTTGCTATCCGGCATATATAAATAAGACATCAGCCGTTAATAAAGAATGTAAGGCTGCTTTTCACATTTGAATACTCTGTGAAATATTTGAAAATCACTGTCTTATATGTCCAGCTTTTTTGGCACTTTATAGATGTATTTTCAACCCCTGGGAGCAGAGAAATGATGGCGCCATCTAATGTTCATAAAAGGGTTTGCGTTACAGTGGTCCGAGTTCTTCAAAGAGATGAACTGCTTTAGTATATCTGAGCCTAATGCAGCAGCTGGTGCTTAAGATTTAGAAAATATATTATAACTTATAACTGAATCTCACAATACAGTAAAACAAGTAGCTTTTGCCTGAATTAATAAGTAAATTAATATATCTCTCTTCCTGCAGAGGTTTAGTATGAACTGATTAGGTCCAGGTGATGACTTGCAACAAATGAGAAGGAAAATAATTGATGTGCTGATCTATAATAGTCTCCTATATAATATCAGGTGTCACTGGAAGTTTTTGGTGGCTTTGTGTCAATGGGGAGGCAGAAATCTGAGCCTCTCACTGGGTCAGGCGTAGGACGGGAGCTCAGGCTGGGTGAAGGACCTCAGGGCATTCTTGGAAACCTGGGGGGGAGCAACAGGTTTCCTCCATCTTCCCCAGCTTTAAGGAACATGGGAAAGCTGTTTCTCGCAATTTTGATTTTATTTAATGATAATGCATGTCTTACACACCCAAAATACATTCAACATCCAAACAGTTATTTTTAATACAATACAGTTAGATCAGTCTTTCTTACCCCAGTCTTCAGGGAGCCCCACAGCCCATATTTTTGCACCCTCCCAGCTTCCTGCACCCCTGCACCAGGTATTCGGTGTTCTTGATTGGCTGGGAGCTGGGAGGGAGCAAAAATGTGGACTGTCTGGTGGTCCCCAAGGAATGGGCTGAGACACACTGAGTCAGATGTAATATTTATAGTGTTGGCAGTGTCCGTTAGTAGAAAGGGGTCACGCACACGATCCGAGCAAACGCTTCCAGTCTACAGACACCGGCTGAGCTCGGGCTAAGATGCTTGGTATATGATGAGTCAGCTCACAGTTGGGCACTGAGAGTGTGACTCGTCACCCCTTCTGGGTCAGTGTCTGCTGACGACTCACTCCACAGCAAGGACTCCCCTTTGTGCCATGGGCAAGGTGTCGAGGTGACAGGAACCTGAAGCCAACACCCCCCCCCCCCATAATTAATTAACAACGAGCCCTCCCAGGTTTTGTTCCGACGCCCCCGTGCGTGTATCGTTTGTTTACAGGTACTCCTTGGGTTGAGAACAAAACGTTAGTAACTGGGATATCGGATAAGTGCAGCAGTCGTGAAAATGGATGTCGGCAGTTTTAGCTGAACAACTGCAGGCTAGACCGTCCCATTTTAATAAATGGCCACAAAAAAATCTGTCACAATAATTGCATTTGGAATAATTGTGTTTAGTGAGAAAAGAAGCTAAATTAGTGCGATGCCCATTAACGGTTATTATATTACGCCTATTGATGCAGTGCCTAATGGCCAGCAGACATAAGCAAATCCCATCTGGCAGCTAATGATTTAAGGGGTGCGACTGCTGACTTATTCAAGCAATATTTGCCTGCGGGCCCCATGTCAAACCGTTATCAAAAGCTTGCTTGATGGAAACAATGAAAAAGGGCCAAGAAGCACAATTAGTTACTGATTGTGTTGTGGCACCAACAGGCCCCGGGTTCAAGCCTTTCTGGGGTTGGTGTGCGGCTCAGCAGCTTCGGGGGCAGTGTCTGTGATCAGAACGCCTCCAGCATCAGCAGAGTGATGTCACTGTTGGACCCTTGAGCGACGCCCTTAACCCCCGATTGCTCCAGGGACTCATTCAGAAATGCATCACGTTGGATAAAAGTGTCTACTAAATAATTAATATGTTTGTAGTGTGCTGCAATGTACAGAGAAGATTAAAAGATAGTCACCTATATTTGGGAGATGATGTAGGGCAGGGTTATTCAACTCGCGGTCCTCGAGGTCCGAGCACTGCTGGTTTTCCAGCCTTCCTTTACCTGTCAGTCAGGTGTGAAGCCTCTGACCAATCAGAATCAGTAATTATTAAACAACTACCTGGGAGAACTGAAAACAAGGCCTGGATTTGGAATCGAGGTCCAGAGTTGAAAAACCCTGATGTAGGGTGACCACCTAATCCATGTTAGGAGGGACACTGAGCTAGAACAGGATTTGTAAACTACCATTTTAATTAAAAGGAGCCAGATTTCACTTTAGCACTGAGCTCTTGCTGTGTGCTGATTGATCAGTCTCCTGTAATCATGCATGTGTCACTAATGTTAATGTGACACAGCTGGATTCGTCTTTCAATCAAGGAAACAAACCAGTAAAAGATGAGCAAACCATTTAGCAAAGCACGGGGGCCTTTTAGTTTGAAATAGTTTGTAAAACCTGAAGTAGCTCATGGTGTCCCTCCTTACACGGATTAGGTGGTCACCCTAGGGTGATGTAGCGAAGGAAAAAGGACTTTTACTTTGAAGTAACTAAATTATAATGACAAACGCAGCTACAAAGGTGAGTCATATTAGGCTGAATGCCAAGTAGCAGTGAGGATCAGCTATAAAAGTGACCTGAGAGCAATGACTTTGATTTGGGAGTTTTCAAAGTGGTTTTACTTCCGAGGGGGCAGTGGTCACAAAGACAGAGAAAGGTATTGAGGGGAGGGTCTTAAAAGTCATGCCAGGACCTATCAAACGAAGCCACCGCGTGGGAGAGGAAGAACGGCGGTTGCAAGGTGAAGCTCAACAGCAGGGATGGACGGACTCTTAAAAGGACTGGTGCTGAACACGACAAAAGCCCCTAAAATCAGTACAGAACCAATCGGCATCTCTGTGACCCTGAATTGAGTCGTGGAAAAAAGTTACGTCATCTGATGGATCACCTTTTACCATTTTTTTGCTTCTAGATGGATTTGTTTGGAGGAAGCCAACGGATGCCTTCAATTCATAGTCTCCAGTCAGTCATTCATAAGCATGTGTTAGTATGGCCAATGTCCATTAATCAAGCAGAGAGATTCGTTACGGTGCAGGCAGCTAGACTGTGGGGGGACATTAAGTGCGGTGATTGTTTTGTAAAATCATTTAGCAGCCAAGGAATGTTGAAGCCATTTCGCAGGAGTAGAACCACCTACAGTGCAATCACTGTTCCCCAGTGATGTTCCCATATTCTAAGATGAAAATTCTGTGCATGGATAACCTGTACGCAGGCAGCTGCTCACTTGCATTAAACCGATACGTATATCTGGACTTCGGGAAAAAGTACGAGACAGTTTACGGAAGCACTCGTGCAAAATGGTGTCACATACCTGTAAAGAAATGTATGCTTGCTTCTCATTAATTTGATGTGTTCTTTGGTACATATTACAAGCCCGTTTTTGTGTTTTTTCTATATGGTGCCTTGAGCGGTGGGGGGGTTAAATCCGACTTGCGTAAAATTTGCCGTTAAGGTTTTGTGGAATAGATTACGTGCGTCAGTTCAGAACTGCATACACGTGTGTATCCTTTGCCAAGCTGATTCACAGCAGCATTTTCTGATCATTTCTAGCTATACGTTTATATGTGTATGTTTGGCCTATGATTAAACAAACAAACAAACAGACAGCAGTGTCTGGAAGATGGAGGTGGAGAGAGCCAGGGCCGAGAATGAAGGGTGGCCAGAGCAGATGGCTGCTGAGCGGGAACTGGAGCCTCGCGGCTGACCAACTGCGCCCCGTGTGACGATACTTTCTGGCACGGAGAGGCGGCCGCGGCCGACTGAGAGCCAGGAGGAGGACTGGTCCAGCGCTGGAGGGGTACAGCGCGCTTGTGCTCGAGCCAGACGAGCGGTCAGCTCCGAAACTGCGTTATTAGAGGGAGTAACAAGTCCTTAGGTACCACAATGATAATACGGCCCCTGGGTTTTCCAAGAAAAGCCCTTTAGAGTCCCACCTATTGCTAGAGAAAAGATATGAGGACCTGTGACTTTCCTGCGTCCGAGACGCAGCAGGATAGCTCGCCCGTCAAGCATACAAAATGCACGCCACCAAACTATGAGGCAGGAGGTAAAATTAGTCTGCATTTCCTCCTCAGAAGATAACTTGCATCAATATTTGAGCATTGAATGAAAAAATAAGTATGCGTCAAACCATATAGAGTTTCTTCAATTCTGTGTATACTGCTTCATTCCAATTCCCTGTGGAGTTCAGTTCATGTTCTAAGAGATGGTGTTCCCATTCAATTTAGACTCTAGGTGTCAAGTCTTCTAAATGCTTAGAATTTCTCTAGATTTAAACTTTCAAGATGCAGAGACAAACGATATATGAAACTATTGATATATCGTTATGCATCGCTAATTACACTTTAATAGTGCAAAATGTGATTTTGTGGCGCCGTAATTAATTTAGATTTGTAGGGAACTTGTAATTGTGAAGCAAATGCCTACACCGCGTGCAGTTAATCGTGTTAATTTCCAATAGCTCACGTGGGTAAATCGCTCCATGGTTAAGCGAAAAAATGTATCCGTACACCCCGTCAAAAAAATGCGTAGCATGACATTTGGGTCCCGCATACACCGTCTAACATGAACCATCAGGTGGCGCAAAGGAATTTGCATGACGGTGATCTAAACATGAAATATGAATATGAATATACGAGAGCCCTAAGGATGGAGCGATCGCGCCTTTAGGCTGCTTTATGGGAAATGTGGCACCGTGTCCCCGTCGCTTTGGGGGCCGTGATGTGACGCTAAGCTGCGGGAAGCGTAACGCGGTGATGAGCCGCAGTTTTGCGCTGGTTAAAGAGACGGACCCCGGGTCCTGCTGTTTATTCCCATGCTATATACGCTCTCTCTCTCTCCGGCTTCATCCCTCCGTCACACACATTTAGAAAATGGAGTTTGCCGAAAGGAAAAGGAGCAGGAAATCGCAAAGCTTTAAACTGGTTAATGAGGAAGGTAAGGAAGGGGCTTTTGAAGGTGTGACCTGCATATTCCCGTCGCTTCTTCTAAAAATAACAAAAGCAAAATGGGGAACATTTTTTTGTCTAAATGCATGGCTTGTCTGCCTAATTCTCAAGACGCTTTGATCAACGAGGGAATAAGACCTAATTTTAAATTATTAAAACGTCGCCATGGAAGTCATAACAGTTGATTTGAAAAATAATGTGAAGTGTCTTATGTCGTGATGAAGTGTTACATTAACGGCGTAACAGGAATCTATTTTTACGGACAATCCATGCATTACTAAACCAGACCTGAAAATCAGACGATCCGAGTTTCTCCTAAAAACTTGTCCGGCTTTTGACGTCTTAATGTTGAATACAAAAAAAAATCCACGGCGAAACTTGACGCACTTCAGGATGAGTTTTCAGCACATTTAGACACTGTGGCGTTTAAATGTGATGTTTGGAGACGGATCGAGCCCGTTGAGCTCCGGCGGCATGTTTATAATACCTACAGGTGGAAGAGCCTGTAGAGCATCGCTGGCTGCCAGCCTCGGCCACTCTGTCCCTACAGCCGCACATACTGCTCCAGACGGCAGTTCGATACGCTGCAATAGCTGCTGTATCATACATATGCTTTTGTGATCGCTATTACATGAATGGTGCGAGGAATATTTTGATATTTTTTGTTTGATCTGCTGTCTCAAGAATATACCTGTGGGATTTCTGTATAATTCGCATTCATTCCCTTACTATTATTATTTTTTTCTTTCCTTTTTTTTCCAGATACTGAAACTAGGTACTTTGACAGTGCTGGAAGCATAGACGTCAATGGCAGAATTAAAGATGTTACCATAACTGAAGGTACAGTGACAGTAATTTCTGGGAAACAGACACATTTTGTATGATTGTTTAAGTACTGTTCTAAGGATTTGCTCTTCATATTTACCTTAAAGGCATTTCAGTGATATCCACAGATGTCTGAGGTTTGCTTTTGTCTGAGCACAGTGCGTCGGTCGCATTTGACTGGCCCAGAATATTCTGGTACGTGAGGTACCTGTGCTTCAGCCATACCTGCCCGCCTCCCAGGTTGGCTTGGCGACGACGGCATGGAGATCAAGAGGCAGATCACGGGGATGATGCGGCTCCTGAGTGACAAGGCCAGCCGTGGGCACCAGCGGCCCGGCGGCACTGGGGACAGCCTCAAGGCGGAGCCCCAGGACGCAGAGCCGAGCTGGGGGCAGCCCTTGGCGTTGTGTCTCGACGAGCCCCAGCACAGCACCTGGAACCTTGAACCCGCGCCGAGGCCTCAGGTGCCAGGGCAGTACAGTACCCGTTCGAAAACCTCGAGGATGCTGAGAGATGCTGGAGGCACGGTAAATCCCAATGGTGCGTCTACGAGTCACAGCAAATCGATCGATCACTCCCCCCCACTCCGGTCCTTCTTCTTTGTGGTTTTGCTGAAGAGTAAGGCAGCACGCAGGGCCAGAGAGCTTCCCTGATGTCATCTTCTTTTTAAATGCCATCCTAAAAAAAAGAAGGGAATATTTATAGCTTTTCTTTTGCGGTTTAATGAAATTTTCAGAGGTCCACCGTTGCTTGAGCGGATTCCCTCATCGATCACATCTGAGACAGCATTTCACTGCTCTCAGCTGTTGCAGATTTATTGCTTCTTTCCTATGAACCATTATTTCATCCCTCTTTCTTTTGGCTACTAAACCGCTGACAGGAGCATCTTAACGTGAAGCAAAACGCTCACGATCCTCACCAACCCTCTTATTCCTTTATTGGCCAACCTGAGTATTTTTATCCTAGTTTTTCACTTCTGTTTTCTGTTTGGAAAAGAATGGGACAAACCACGCCCGTTCCCAAATCCTCGTCCCTTAACTACCTAGCACTGTGCCTAATCCACCAGCCATTTAATCCACACAAATAGTGAGACGATATTTCCTTCCAGGAGATTAGCGACATTGACATTCTACACTGGATTAGTGTTCCCCAGTCTCATCCTTGGGGGCCTACAGTCAGTCCATGTTTTTGCTCCCTCCCAGCTCCCCACCAGAGGCAGCAAAAATGTGGGCAGTCTGTGGGTCCCCAAGGACTGGATTAGGAAACGCTGGACTAGAAGGTTAACCCATTGGGATTGAATTTGACCAATTAGCCAAGGCCTGAAGAACATGTCTGCTCATCAGAGAAGGTGCCTGACTGGTTCTGAGGATGGTGGGGTGGGGTGGGGTTCCTTCAGTGCAGAGAGCGAGGAGGACGGGATGCCGCCTTGAGAAAACGGAGACAAGACAAGGACGCATTCAGGATGGCAAATCTGCTCATGTGCATACACCATCACAATAGGCCATTCACATGCTGCTTGGAGATGGGGTCCTCATAGTGAAGCCTTTACCTGGTCTGCCTGTCTTGTGCTGTCCAGTGACGAGCCTGCCCGGAATCATGGAAGCAAACTGCTGCATGTGTAATTGCAAAAGCACATTGCAGGCCATCCTGCAGGAGCTGCGCGCTGTGAGGAAACTGATGCAGCGGCAGAAAGGTGAGTGTTGCCACGCTCTGCAACGAGCCGCGGAAAAAGGTTCTTTTTCCTCTGGCATATAGGAACCGAGCCATATCCAAGCCAAACTGCGAGAGGCTAGATACAGCGCGGTTCCAGATCTCCTTGGTTTTCCACTGCAGAGGGGTCGGCTCGGAAATCGCGTTTGGAGAGTGACGTAAAACCGAAGAGATGCTTATTTACTGTTCACACGGTGTACATCATGATTTACTATGTACTAATTTCCACTAGCAAGTGACAATCACGATCATATGTTAGCATCAAATGCTAGCATAATTAGCATTAGTGTGTGTAAATTTTGAATTATGAATTATGAATCCATTTCGTTCATCAGTTTTATAGTACTTTTTAAGTAGGAGGTTGGAAATTTTCAAGTTCCGAGCTATCAGGAATGCATCAGTACGTCATGATGTGCGATACTACTTAAAACGAATAATATGCACAATATGCTCTATTTTTCCTTCAGGCAATCCCTGTATATCGACACAGATCACAGGTATCTGTGCATTTTAACTAATCAGATGGTGATGATGCAACCAGCTCGGTTTGGTCACGCTTTCGGCCCTGCTAGTGAGCAGGGACGTGTCAGTGCGCTTATGGCTCGGATGCTTTACAATGGAAAACCGCCAGTTCGTGCCATGGCTCGGTTCTTGGTGGCAGTGGAAAAGCACCAAAAGTTTGTGCCCTGTTCTGATTCTTCAGCATCAGTTCATTTCACTTCATTTGGGCCAGATCTGCACAACAGGAATCTGAACGGTGTTGGCCCTTGCCCTCAGATTCAGGTTATTAATGTTAAGGTTGATGCTCAGGGATTCGGGTAACCATGTTCTACTTGCAGAAAACGGAGCACTCTGGCTAATGTTGCACAGCAAGCTGCTGCTGTTGTAATAGTTTGGGGAGATCCGTCTATATCAGGACCCCAAACATGACAGGACATCCATCCAAATCATGCAGCAAGACAATAATACAAAACTCAATAACAAGCCTGTGTCAGAATGGTTGAATAATGGAAGATGAATACAGCCAATATGGTTTTATTTATTTCCAACAAAAATACTACTTGTACCTGTACAAGTTAAATTTCAATGCTTCCAAAAATGCATTGAAAAGCCATAATGCTACTTGTATGTGGAATCACAGACACTCAACAGACATTATTGATCTAAAATGACAAATGGCTCTAAAAACAGAAGCCTAAGTGCACTTAATGACATGAAAGATCATAATATTTTAATAAAATTAAACCAACTTTCCAGAATTTCCCCGTGGCATGAATAAAGTTAATCTTAATCTTTAAATACTACAAATTACAGTATTTTTATCCTATGTATGCCTCTGTCTGGCAATATTTATTATTATTATATATATAATATTATTATTATTATTATTATTATTATTATTTAGATGAGATGCTAACTGAATGTTTGGATTTTAGCTTTGAATTCTGGGATTCTGTGCAAGGTCATAACCTAAACTATTATAGGCTATTATAGGTCTCTATTAAATGTCTGTTCTTATACTCTTCTCCCATTTAGGTATCAAAATGTGGCATGCAACGCTTCGATCAACGTGTCATAACGTTATTTAAAATTAGTACTGTGCATTAATGAGAACATTTTCACAGCCTTAATTATACATGCACACACACACCCACACGTTTGTACTCATATCTTTGTGGGGCAAAACCCTAATCGCAACAATCCCAACCCTATGCTTAACCATAAGTAACCAAACCTTTGCCATTTTTAGCTTTGACTGCAGTCACAGATTTTTATGAAAATGTTTCCCCTTGTGGGGATCGAAAAATGGTTCTATATAGAGGACAGAATATTTAAGATGACAGTTCCGAAATTAAAGGCAATTTTGATTATTTATATTATTGTAGCCGTACATTTAAACATAGCTTAAAGGGGAGGTAAAGGCGCCAGTTAGCTCTTAAAGGACCCTTGTTATTTCAGCTCTTTTATTCAAAATTTTCAGCATATCTGCATTTTCCATTCAAGCTGCAGCTTTATTTTGGTGTAGAATTACGTATAAATCCTTTTGGATATAAAAGAACGCTTTATTCTACAGTCTCCCTAGAAGAAAAAAATGTTTGTATCGAAATGCATTTATCTTCAGGCACAGTTTGGGGCGCCCCTTAAGGCCCCAGTGCATTCTGGGACGGCACCCTCTCTTGTATCGAGAGAGGCGCCGCTAAACCGAAACCGGTAAGGGAAAAAAGCGGAGTGCGGAATTAAAGGGGAAATGAAATGTGAATATAAGCGTCGTCTTTCTTTAAACGTGCGAGGGCTATTGCTTTAAATATTTCCTGTTCGGTGGAAAACGCCGACTCTGTGCGGAGTGCGGGAGACGCGGGGGTTTCTTTAACAAGCCGAGTGTGGTGTCGCTCTCCGGGCAGCGGGTTACAAAAGGGTTAATTTTTTCAACTGCCGACATTTTTACACGCAGCTCGCTCGTTGTCCGGGACGAAAAAACACGACTAACGCTGTGCATAACCGGGCTCTATGAAAGTGGAGAAGGCATATGCACCGTTCTCTGCGAAATAACATTACCCACGGGCCTGGCTTTTCTTTATGTATAGGTGTTTTTGTCTCCGCCCCCAGCTTAGCTAGCTAGCTAAGCCTGCCCATGCGTGGAGCTGGGGTGCAGCGGGGAGACACAACAAGGGGTTAATGTTGTGCTTCACTAAAAGTTTGCAGAATCTTTGCAGAATAACTTAAAAGTTTTACTTTGATGCCTGATATATTTGTGCAATATACGATAGGACATCAGCGGATTATAAGGCGTCCCTATGGCGATGCCACTTTGACAGGCACATGTCACACACCCTGTCGCATTAACTGGAACCCTGAGCTCACAGACAAGAGCGCATATAAACCGCCTTCTATAGCTTGAGTTCAGCATGGCTCATATTTATAAAACAATTTTTAAAAATACAATTCTGATGTTATCCAGCCGCTGTCAGAAACTCGTATTAAAGGTGCTAGTTACTTTTATGTATTATTTGTAATAGAATGTTAATGTACGTGCATTGTTATAGGTTTCCTTTCAACCCCTGGGCGATTATTGTGCAATTTTAGGCAGATAAAAGGTAAATAGATAAAAGGTTTTGGGTAAGCATATGGTATACATTCTTTGCATTCTTCCACCTTGTAGGCTGATTAGTGTTACATTTGAGTTACTTTATTTATTTTTTGATAATATTAATATATCTAGTCATCATCAGTGAAGTACCAACCAAAATAACCAAGTTCTTGAACATAACATAACTTTTTCCTTTTTTTTTTTTTTGCTCCCCAAGATTGTCATCTGTTGAGAGACAGCGGTCCAGTTACTGGTAAAGGTGCAGCCATTGTCCCCAGGCCATGTCTGTGCGGGAGTCTTTTAACCCCGAGAGTTATGAACTAGACAAGGGGTTCCGATTAACCCGCTTCACAGAACTCAAGGGGACTGGCTGCAAGGTCCCACAGGATGTACTTCAGAAGCTTCTGGAATGCCTGCATGACAATCACTTCCAGGAAGACGAGCAGTTTTTGGGGGCAGTTATGCCCAGGTTAGGTAGGTCTCCTGAATCATGGCGCCCCCCTCTGGTAAACGCTAGCAAATGGGCCAAATGGGATCGGAGCTTAAACAGTATTTGTGTCGTCACCGTGACAACACTTCACTGAAACGTCCCCCATGTGTACAGGTATCGGCATGGATACTTGTGTCATCCCCTTGAGACACGGCGGTCTTTCACTTGTTCAGACGACAGATTACATTTACCCCATTGTGGACGACCCCTATATGATGGTAGGAATTCTGGAGCCTTCTACCATTTGTAATTCATTTTTTTTTCATATCAAATGATTTGTGATTCCATTTATTAGTGTCTGAGTTGTTTCCTTTTCTTCCAGGGACGCATCGCCTGTGCCAACGTGCTGAGCGACCTCTATGCTGTAGGTGTCACAGAATGTGACAATATTCTCATGCTTCTGGGGATCAGCAACAAATTGTCAGATAAGGTGAGAAGCATATGTACTTAAAATACAAATTTACACCACAAAGGATCTACCATTGTGTGGACATAGTATAAGACATTTCACCATAGATATCTGCAATGTACAAGTTTTAGTTTCAGATTTTACAGCTGTTGTCTTTTCGGACAGAATTTGCAAACCACCTGTAGATGACCCCTTTTGTCTTGGTACTTTTGCTTTATAGCTTTTACATTTTTAGGTTGTTGAGGTTTTGTAGCACTTAGAGATTTTCTCCAAAAATGTAAAGTGCGTTATAGATAAAATGTATTATTATTATTATTATTATTATTACCGATGTATTGTCTGCCCTTGAATATAATGGCTGGCAAATGTCATCATCAGGAAAGGGACAAAGTGATGCCCCTGATTATTCAGGGGTTCAAAGACGCGTCGGAGGAGGCAGGAACGTCGATAACGGGGGGGCAGACGGTGGTGAATCCCTGGATCGTTCTCGGCGGAGTGGCGACGACAGTATGCCAACCCAACGAGTTCATCATGTGAGCGAATCTCTCGTCCCACGCTGTCGATTTCCTCCACTTCTTCACATTCACCTCAGACCTCCTCCTACGTGTGACCTGATGTCTCTTACCTTACCGTCAAATCCATTTGCAGAAGACGCGCTGTAACAGAGGTGAACATCACTGAGAACAGTGCAGTTTCAGGGTGTTTGCAGAAACATCTTCTGTATTGAGAAGACTGTATCTTTCAGCTTATAATAGTATTGATAACTATATACATATTTGCATAACGTAACATCCTTCGGCACAACGTCCCTTTGCATATACGCTTGTGGTCCCATAGCTTTACAATAGAGCTAATAGCCTACTTGGCTAATGGAACACAGCAGACGTAAGGAGTCATAGTGTAAACACGGTAACTGCACCACCAGCCGTATGACAGTACAGTACGTAGCCTAACTTATAATACCCATAATACTTGAGAATAATAATAAATATATATTTTATGCATTTTTAAATTTACTTTATTGTATTTTTTATCATTATTTTTTATGTATCTTCTGTCTCATATGAAGTATCTTGGCTTTTTAGGGTATACAGGTACAGTATAGATGCAGTGTACCATATAGGTATGTATACGATGTTCACATAGCGTCCAAGTCGCCTAACGTCCGAATGGACAGAACGTAACCCAGTCTTGCGTTCTGCCAGATCTCTCAGTCAGGGGTTAGTTAAGGTTTAGTTCTTGGCATATGGTACGTGAGAGAGAGAACAGTTACTAGCAATTACTTATTGAACACTTACATTAACACTTCAATATCCTAAAATTCAAAGTGTAACAAAAACTGGATTTTTACACCTATTTCCAGTTGTATTCGAATACAAATGATTTTGCTGCCTCCACAAATACAAACACTGTGCTTTCTGCACATCCCTACATATATATCTGCAGAATGTATCTTCCTCGGCGCTTAGTTATTTATAAAATCATGCATCGTAGGGGGTCTCGAGTGCTGGTCTTTTTTCATTTGGTGTATTTATAGGGAATTTGACCCAAAAGCCAAACATTAGAGAGTTTGTAGCAAGATGTTTTTTGATAGCTTAACGCTGAGCTATTTTTACAGCTCATTTGTTGAGTTTAAGCAGCCGTACACTTCACTGAGGTCCGATTCACTGGTGCTCATTTTTACTGGCCGATCCCCTGCAGGCCCGACAACGCTGTACCTGGAGATGTGTTGGTGCTGACAAAACCCCTGGGGACACAAGTGGCCGTGGCTGTGCACCAGTGGCTAGACATCGTAAGTGAGAAGCCACTCATAGTCACACAACATGCCTGTGTTTCCAAAATTACAGTGCTGCAGAGCTATGTTAAAAAAGGAATTTAATTTTAAGGTATCTTAGAAGGCTCTCATTGACCATATGGCTATATATTATTATTTTTTAAAATATTTTAAATTTAGAACTAAATATATTTGAATAATTGGCTAAAATAATGCTGTATTTCTCTGGGCTATCACTCCCCATTTTCTTAGTAGCTTTCTTTCTGAAGCGTTATAATTTTTTATATGTTTGATATCATTACAGCACATACACTAGTGGCCAAAGCACTTCAAATTCTTAGATATTGCAGAACTTTATTCAACTGTTGCTCCAGTTACTTTAATCACCCAATGTATGATATTTGTAACAGTCTTTGCTTGTAAACAATATTGCTAGTATTCATGTAGTAATTTTTATAGCGTAATGCCAAACATGCTGGGTGCTTCCACAATCTTGGCCGCTAGTGTATGTACATACACTAATGCACTCATTACTGTATATGTGACACTCTTCTGCTTTAACAGCCTGAAAAGTGGAACAAAATCAAACTGGTGGTGACACAGGAAGACGTGGAGCTGGCTTATCAGGAGGCCATGATGAACATGGCCCGGCTGAACAGAACCGGTACGGGGGAGCCGCCCTGTCGCCCGCTGAGCTCGGCTCTACCTCAGTCACTGCCTCAGTCACTGCCTCAGTCACTACCTCAGTTACTGCCTCAGTTACTAAATCAGTTAGCTGCTTTTGAAGTAATTCTTTATCTCAGTTTTTGTGTTACAGATAGACCTGGAAATTCTAATATTATGGTGGAGTGTTTTGGTTCTTTCCGGTTTGCAGAACATACATAAATTTAATGGTCCAGTGAACATGAGCCAGCTGGCTGTCTTCAGGCCACAATCTGAAGGTGTTTTTATTTAATTTTTTTTTTTTTATCGATACGTCTCCCAGCGGCCGGCCTGATGCACACCTTCAACGCCCACGCCGCCACCGACATCACGGGCTTCGGGATCCTGGGCCACGCCCAGAACCTGGCCCGGCAGCAGAGGAGCGAGGTGTCCTTCGTCATCCACAACCTGCCCGTGCTGGCCAAGATGGCCGCCGTCAGCAAGGCCTGCGGCAACATGTTCGGCCTCATGCACGGCACCTGTCCGGAAACCTCGGGTGAGGGGAGAAGCTGCCTGCCTAGCCTTTGATTTCACCCAAAAGTCACTACGTAAAAAGCCAGAAGAAAAGGGCTTTTCCTAGACTTGGTATTTGTACCTATAGATACTCCTCAGTTTAAGGTGGGGTTATGTTCTGATGAACCCATCGTAAGTTGAAAATATCATAAGTTGAATATGGACATGATATGATATTACACACTTGGGCGTTTAATAGACATAATGGGCTAGGGGAAATTTAGTTACACACCTTACAATACATCGCTAAACATTATAAGAGATGTTTACGCTCGTGATTTCTACAGAGACTTGGAAAGTGTGGGTGGATGGTACCACTGGCCAACTTTAATAGGAAGTATCGTACTGCATATTGGTAGCCTGGGAACATATCAGAATTCAAATTTTGATGAATATTGTATGTGCAGTCGCACCATCGTAAAGTCGAAATGTCATAAGTCAAACCATCGTAAAGCAAAGGGCATTTGTATAGTTGGTGACCGTTTGGATTTACACCCGCCCCTCTTCATGTTCAGGAGGCCTGTTGATCTGCCTGCCCCGAGAACAAGCGGCACGTTTCTGTGCTGAAATAAAGTCCCCCAAGTACGGCGAGGGCCACCAGGCCTGGATCATCGGCATCGTGGAGAAGGGCAACCGCACTGCCAGGATAATTGACAAGCCCCGGATCATCGAGGTGGCCCCACAGGTGGCCACGCAGAACGTCAACCCCACTCCTGGGGCCACCTCTTAATCCTGCCTCCCCCCCAGCCTTTTTAGACACATGTTCTGATGCCATCCTTGAATACATAACAACTGCTGTGTCTGTGTGATTCTTGTGTGCTCAGACGTCACCTTAGGGCAGAAGGGACACGGACACAGTTTAAAAAGAAAAAAAAACAGTAAGTTCATTGCCTTTGTGTCTTTTTTTCCTATGTTAAGTGAAGACACACCTAATCATAAGGCAGCTTCTGAGCTGAGAATATTATTACCCAACACTGTTGATTCATTTTGAATCTTTAGACAGGTTTCGTCTATCGCCGTTTAGGCTCTCTTCAAAGGTGTCTTCACCCTGCACACCTTACCGATACGTAGCAAGCATTTTTATTGTTTTATTTTTTTTTTCGTTAGTCCCTGCACTATGTACAGTGAAATCCCAGGACTGGAGTACGAGCTCCTAACGGATGCCATGAGAAGAGCGAAGCGGGATGTAAACCAGGAAGTGGGAACTTGAGGGGTTGCATGGTAGTTTGTGTTGTTTTGGCCGGTTTATTTTATTTTTTTTCCTCCCTATCCAATAATGTTCTACACGTCAGTCAGAGGAGAGATCGGTGCATGCTGGTAGTGTCAGCTGAGGAAAGTTAACGTTATATACCGATAAAGGTGCCGTGCGTGTCCTGCGTAATCGGTTATTTTGACGTTTCTCGTAACAGTGCGACTGCTTCGGTCTGCTGGATTCTGGAGGCCATAAACGCCCAAGGAGCGGCTCAACCGTGTACATGCTGGGGGGTTCAGGGAACTTCCCACGACAACATGTTCTGTGGTCAGTAGTTACAGCGTGTGCGACATTGGCCACTCAGTACGTCTCCATAGGCACTTCAGCGTGTAGTGCGTCACATAGCTCTCTTAGTTTAATTTTTTATCTTTTTTGTTTTGTTTTGCAAAACAGTGTCATGTCAACATTGCGACTTCCGCTGAGACCCCAATAAATGTATAATTTTTTATCTCTTGTATTTCAGACGTGTTTGTCTTTTATTTCGGTTAATGTGTGGGGAGGAGTCTCTGCCATTGGGTGGAGCAGCACTTCGTAAATCCGCAGTCGGCATGTATGGCCTGTTTCTGGGACCCCACTTAAAAAGTCACGACAAAAACTTAATAAATACCTAGTGAGTAGGGTCAGAAGATCATAGCCAGCTCGCGGGATTGCAGAGCATGCAGCCTGTTCGGGTTAAAGACAGCTAGGGTAAGGGCTGCCTTTAAGGCTATAATTAGGGTTAGGATTTGTTTTTACGGTTTAAGTTGGGGTTAGAGTTAGGTTTGCTATTAGCGTAACAGGGTTAGAATTATGGGGGCCCATAGAAATGCATGATTTGAGTGGCTGATTTGAGTGTACAGCATGAACCCGAAGCTCTGTCTGTCTTGGTTTTTCTACTGTTATGCTGAGAACAACCTCTTGCTTTAAAGGCATTTTTCTAGAGTCTTTATACATGGTAATGTTGTCGCATTTAATTTATCGGAAGCTGATAGTAAAAAAACATTTCACACATAATTTAAATCGAAGAATTTTATATACACATTTAAAATACATTTGATCTGTTTCAGCAGGTGATTACAAATATTTACACAATATGCTCACAAAATAACATTTATACCATGTATATATAGGGTGTATTTGACCAGTTAGTGTCCATGGGCAGTTTGGTCACTCGATTACAGTATGTAGAATATTCTTATGCGTCAACTTCAGTTCTACTTGTAGACCTGTGCCATGTACTTTATAAAACAAAACTGATCGCTGTTCTTATGACACAAAACAAAGGAAAATTTATTTATCAAATATGCAATGTGTAACACTGGTAATTATTCCTGGAAGCCTGCAGTTATTTGCTAATGGTTTAGGTGAAGATGCATGCCGTCTGACATATGGTACATAGGTGTGTAAGTATCTTCTCAGTGTACATCACAGCTTCTTGGTCTTAATATCGAACAGAGCCTGGATGTCCATCATAGCCTTTCGGATGTTCTGGCCAAACCGGTAAGAGTCCTGGATGGAGACAAGGCGGACAGTTATCTCACACGGCAGAAACTGATCCACTGTCTAAACCACAGGAGCATCTAGCGGTGGGATACAATGTTTCGGTGCGGTTCCCGAGACGACGGATGCCTCACCGTCTCTGGACTGGAGAACTTGCTGGAGATGTGGAACGTGATGAGATTCTCGCCAATGATGATATACGAGACGCCATACCCATCATCAGCCACCTTCGCAAAAAGAACGTGCCATGAATACCAACAATTCCGTCATGAAACATTCCAGCCAGTCTCGTTAAGGAGCGCTAGGCTAGAGGAACCCACCGGCCCAAACCCCCCTCCAGCACCAACATATTTGGGGAATTTCTGGATGTCAATAAGGTTCAGCTGCTGCTGGGGCGTCTGACTGGTAGACAGTCTCCACGGCTCAGAAAGAACCTGTGGGAGGAGCCAGATTACAAACGCTCAAAAACGGCACCAGGTTACAAACACATCACCTGCCAATCAGTGGCCGTCTGACCTGTTTGAGGAATGGCGAGTCAATTCCCAGGTATTTGGACACGATGTAAAGGCAGAAGAGGTGCCGGTCGATGCCCGAGCCAGTCATGGCTAACCGGTACATGTTCTGGTGTTTCTCCGCCGCCTTCCGGAAGAGCTCTAACCTCGTCTCGTTCTGCCCATAAATAACCACAAATTAGGGGACTGAAGCAACTTATAAGCAGAGAGGGAGGAGTTTCAGACTGACTGTATGGGTTTGTTCAAATTTCATAATGAATTTGATATTGGCTGGAAGAAAATAATGATGATGTGATTTAACTGAAAGGAATTGGACATGGACAATTACTGGCCGTCTCAGTCCAGAGACTTACTTTTTCTAAATTTAAGATGGTGGATTAAAGATATCAGAACAGAAACTGTCCACACACTATGGTTACTGTAAAATTTATGGTTTACGTCACTGAATAACATGCACATAACAAGCAGAAGGCCAGTTTACAGTTTCCTCTTTGTCCTCCATGGCACGAACAAACGCTGTGGACTCCCAGGTGCAGGAACGCACCGTCTCCGTCCGGCCCTCCTTGAACATTCGGGTCATCGAGGATTCATAGGTCAAACAGAACTCACCCTTGTCCTACCGAGTCAGATCAAAGCACCTGTAAGCATGTGCTTCACATGGAAAAGTAGTAACTTTAAGATATGTTGCTTTTTTGATTGATTAATTTGCATAATGCTGCGTGCTAATCGCTGATCTGGACCTAGAAATACATCTGAAAATGTGACTGGACCGGGATCCATGACCACCATCACGTCGTGTGAGGGAAATGGGACATACCCGGAAATGTGCGAGCTGCAGGGCGAGCTGGATGAAGGCGTCGGGACTCATCCTGCACCTCTTAATCAGGCCTTTCCCAAAGTCATCAAACAGGCAGCCATGGAAGTCGACGTCATCTGCAATCTCCTTGGCCAGAGCGTAGGACTTGCCAATGACAGTTTGGCACTGGGCAGGGAGGGAGGGAGAGATGAAGGAGGAAAAAGAGAGAGACTGAAATGGGTTCTGAGAAATGTTCTATTAAGAAGGGCAGCAGGACGGAACTCATGGGAAATTCAGATCACAGGAGCATAGAAGCTGTTGGAGCCTTGGTCAATCAATAATCAGTTATCATTGAGATGTATGTAATTGGCAAATTGCAAGATTTATAAATCCTTTTGAACATTCGTACAAGCATACTAATAATGATAATGATGATGATGATGCGGAAACCCTGGTCATTCTTTCCAGATCAAAAATATTTTCCCCTGCCAGCAGTTGTCTACATCAAGGTAAGAAAACCTTAATGTCTTAAAAATCCTTTGCTTAAGGAGCTAAGTATTTGGTGAATGACCCCATTGTGGTGAATCTGAGCAAAGTCACCATCCCAAATCATCTCAGAAAACACCCATCTGTGGAATGCAAGAGAAACTAACTGTACATCAGACAGGAATCAAGTCTAAGCTGGCTCCCAGCGTGAAGGTCATGCAAGGTCACTGGTACATACCTCAGGCGGAATGTCCCACTGGAGCTTTGTGGGAGGGGGCAAGTTTTTATTTAGGTCGCCATTGCAGTGCCCCTCCTCCGTGTACCCCAGCTGGAAGCAGTCAGTGGCCAGGACATACTGAAACGCAAAGACTCGTTACCGAAGACTGCGGATGGGGCCCGTGCCCTCGCTGTCATGCCACCTGCTCTCTGGGCCGAATTACCTCCCACATGTGACCCACGATGGGCGAGTCCGCCCAGGAGTGCTCTGCGTTCAGCCCCATCTTGCCATTCTTGTAGATGACCAGAGAGAAGGATTTGTCAAACCACCTAAGAGACATATTTGTGAACAATAATGAGCAAATAATAAAGGTCAGTGGGTCACTTGTGCGTAATAAGTCTGACAGACAGGAACACATATAGGGTTATGGCCACAAGAGCACTGGCCCCAGCTGAAAGCTGATTGGCCCCTGGAATTCCCATTATGTCACTGACCAATTCAAAACACACCATTAGAGGCTGGTTCCTTTGTATGAACTACAGTCCCTCTAATGTCCCCACCTTAAAAATTCTAGAATCTCCCCTGATCGAAGAAGCATTGCAATATTCTGTTCCAGGATTTGATGGCAGTTTTCCTGTATGTCCCTATTGTCCCCTACCGGTCATAGCATTTCCCATGAAGCAGGGACTTGGCATACACATCCAGGGACTTGATGTTCTCGGGGTCGTAGCCATGTGATTCATCATCCAGTGTCAGGAAGAAGGCCGCAGTCTCGATAGCATCCAGGGATACTTTGTTTGTGCCTTGGCTGAAGTACTTCAGTCGGGCTCGTGCCCATGTGACCCTGCGGGGAACAGAACGGGAGGTTGGACGGTGATCAGGAATGGCAGGATGGCAGGATGGCGGCGGTGGGGGGGGGAAGGGGCGAGAGGGTGACGGGACAGCAACTCGCCCACCTTTCTCCTGCCGTGAGCGCGGCCAGCATCTTCTCCCCAGGCTGGGGCTCAGTGGGATCGTTGATGATCCTCTGGAACTGCACCTCCAGCTCACTGGGAGTCAGGTGCCTGCCACCATAGTAGAGCCAAAGCTTGAAGAGGCGGCCGCGGTGGTAGACCACTAGGTGCTTCCTGTCCTTCAAGTGCTGGATGAAGTCTGCCAGAGCAGAAGGTGGACAAGCCAAAGACTCACCCTCATTGAGCTACACCACACTCGATTCCTAAATCACAGCTAACAGGACTTTAAGAAGATGCTGGGATTTCCCTTTTACGCATCACTAACATCTAGAACAGAAGGACATATATACCAAAAGCAGAAAGCTACCTGTCTCAATACCAGGGATCCTGGTGGTGTTGAACATCCTCTCCATCTGGAAGGAGCACATGGGGACAATCCCCAGAGCCCTCAGCTGGAAGAGACGGGAGGGGACATGGGATGGTGCAACTTTACTGAGGGTCCAACACGTCCAACCTGTGTCCTGATCCATCTGCAGCACTTCGCGTGTCAAAGGTCAGCCTGGCCTATTAGTTTCATTATTTATGATCTAAGGGGTTCCCAGTACTAGCCCCACAGTCCAACAGAACTGCCAAAAGATATCAGGCCTCATGTGACACGGCTCACAGTTCAGCGTGTTAAATTTATACCATATTTATACCGCGTTGTCAGTCCTATTGGATGCCCAAGTACCAAAATGGACTGATATCCATTTCAGGGTGGATTTTCACGAGGGTCAGGAGGACGCCACTGACTGCTGTGGGTACTGATGCTTAGGGAGACGTCCGGCTGTACGCAGGTCGAAGCCCATTTTGAGCCTTGAGCGAGCTTCACCAAAAGATGAAATGGGCTCGCTATGTCGGCGCCCCCTCAGAAGATGATGCCCTAGGCGGCACGAAAGCACCAGAGTGACTCGTCAAAACCGCACCGTCACTTTGCAGTGACTTGAGTCTGACTTGGAAAACATCACTATGTGTGGTTTGGGTACCATCTTACACCTTATGCACTGAATGTATCTTTGTGCTCTGCATGCATTACAAATTCCCTGTGGGATCCATAAAGTTCATTTCAATTCCAATTCTTTTCAGACAGAGTGTAGGTGTGCATGGTGTGTACTGGTGTGTGATGCCCTGTAATGGGTTGGTGCCCCATCCTGGGTTGTTCCCTGCCTTGTGCCTGTAGCTTCCCCCCTCGACCCGGAAAAGGACAGGCGGTTTCAGGTAATGGATGGATGGATGGATGGACTGCAGTACTGGAGCCTAATGTCGGCTCATTCCAGTGGCGATAGAAGATGCCGGAACACACAGAGCCTCACCGGGGTGTGCTCCCCGCGCTCCAGCTTGCGGCGGTACTGCAGCATGGCATGGACGACATTGCCTGCCCTGGCAGCCTGCCGGTGAGTGGGGGTGACATACAGCAGGTCCTGCAGGGGAATCAGAACGGGGGTAGGATGGTCTCACACCCACCCTCAAATATACATTTCCAGTGCATACCAGTCCCTGACCCATCATCAAAATTATATGCCAGCATCAGTTCTGAAACCTCACTGACAAAAACTGTGATTCAAGTAGTAAACAAGTCTATTTTGTACATGTGCTGATTATACATGGAAACAAAGTTAAAGTTCAACTACTAATAAAAGACTAATTAAAATGAATGGTGTTCTGGACTTCTAGTCTTACAACCTACCATGGTGTAGAAGTTACTGTTAACCATGATGGGCCCTCTGCTTCTGAGATAAATGTACTCCTCCCACCAGTCACTGACCTGGAAATCAATAAAATCAATAAAATCCAAAGTATTCCTGTGCAGAAGTGGAAAGGTTAGCACAGAGTGGCTGTATAGGTTTTACATTATGCTTACATAATTTGTGGACCACCATGATTTGAGAACGAGGTATTTTTGTAGTTTAGGGGCCGGGTCCTTCTTGAATTCATTTGCAACGATCTCCATTTGCTTGTACTGCTCATCGTCCAGTAGAGGGCGCACTGACTCAAGATACTAAAATAAAGATTTTAAAAGCACAAGGACATAAATTGAAGCAAAAGGGAAGTCAAAATACAGTTATATTTGAGGATGCTTTCAGTCAGAATCCTGTCTGGCAGGTGGTCATTCACCCTTCTGATGGTGTCATCCACACTGGGAACCGGCAACCTGGGGAGGGAAGCCTGGAAGCTGTACAGCAGAGGCCTGCGGCCAGAAAATATCTTCACAAGACGCTGTTGAAGAGAAATTAGTTTTTTAAAGTCCTTTTTGAGTCCTGACATCAAGCCAAACCGGTGCAGGAGCGGTTCACCTACCAGCCACAACCGGGTGGAAAAACTCTTTTTGCCGTGTGACTCGAAGATCCAGCCGTGGTAGGAGAGAAGCGCTTTGAGTGTGTAGCGCAGCACCAGGATAATAGAAAACCACAGTCCCGTAGCGAACAGTATGGCACTCACTATAGTCTGTGTCTGGACTGTCAAATAGTCACTGAAATAGCAACAAGGGAGGAAAAAAGCATCAAACCAAAGCTTTCTGCTGACTGAATAATAGTTTTATTAGGATCTTTCTTAGAAGTTTTTGTGTTGCTTCAGTATAAGCTTATACTTGCCCGGACATTGACTAGAAGTATCCTAGCTTCACTAATGCCCGATCTACTCCTTGACAGCTATATTGGTGGGTTGCTGATACGGTGTTCAAAGAAGCTCTTGGTCCCACTAACCTTACTGGCAAGGTTTTCTTGATGCTGTCGATCATCCCCATCGAGGGGTCCACTCTGGCGTACAAGGTGCTCATTATGGCGATGACGACAATTAGCCAGCTGGAGGGGCTGGCTGGGTACACCCCAGCCAAGATTCCGTTCTGCACAAGACAGCAGAAGTGGCTGCTTGCAGATCACGTGAGGCACAGATACAGCCATTGCAAAAGACATCATGACAATAACAGAATGGCTTGGGCAGCCTACCTTGAACCTTATGACGCGCTTCCTCCATGACGTCACGCCTGACAAGTAGATGTGTTTCAGCACCTCCCTGCTCAGGTGGAGGTCGATTCCCTCGGGGGTGACGGTGAACTGAAAGCCCACCGCTTGATGAGCTTCCGCCATCACTGCGGCTAATTAACCGGCTCTGCGGGTCAATCAGCAATTAGATCTCGACAACTCAAAATATACTCCCAATGAATAACCAGTCAAAATGCAACGGTTAATGATTACTACTTATTATTCTGCACGAACACGACGAAATATGCGAAACATAATGCGATTTCTAGGGGTGTTTATTATTAATATTTTAAGTCCTAATAAACAGGAAATTCGTACATTTTTCCTAGCAAACAGCCTTAGTTTGTATTAAACGGCAAATGACTATCCAAGAACAATACGATAATAACAGACGCATGAAAAGAATGAGTTTAAATATTAATTTAATCATCAGAAAAACCCATTAACAGTAATAGATTGGCATGATGTTCTCTTTTTGAAGTTCAGACATATTGTCTTTGCCTGTGTGCGCGCACGATTTAATGATTTACTATGGGAAATAATCTGCTGCACTCCCCTGCGGGGTCACACGTTTCTGATACGGCGTAGCCACCGGGTAGGATTAAATGACATTTTCCATTGCATGTGACTGGCGTCCTACCAAGTGGGGCAAAGTTAAAGGGGCAGATTTAGCGGTGAGGAGGTGGGCAGGGGGGTGTGCGTCTCTGACGGACTGAACATGTTATAAATATAAACACGTGAGCCACCTCATCACCATCCTGTTGTAATTATGAAGGAATACTTCACAGTTTAATCAAAGACTGCAGAATCTGATGGAAATCCGCCAGGCATTTCTAATTAACCTTTCTGCGAACACTGTTAAATCATTGTCATATGCATTTCATAATTTCGTGTGAAGAGTTCGTATTTTCGCGACCCTTCTAATTATCGCCATATTTCGTTCAATGTAAATGAACACAATTTCATCTAAAAAATTATTCATTTTTATGTCTCACTGTGGTTTTGTCAGCACGTTGAACAAGTCTAGCGTCTTTAAATCGTATCAAGATATCTGGTTTGTCTTAATGTAACCTGAAAACGTTCCCAACATCACTTAATAGCATTAACGATATTTTTCCTATCAAAAATAACGTTCGATTCAGGGAAACCTAGAAGTTATAAATTATGTAGAAATGTTTCCAAGATATAATAGTCAGGTGAACATATTGAAAAAGACAACAATAGGGAAAAAACAGGTATATTTACACAAATATATGCTTTTATATAAATTTTAAAACAAAAATGCTCCAAAAATCCCGTATAATTTATGAAGATGCTGTACCTTATTTGTACAGAGATGTCCGAATGTGGAGGGGGTGCAGCTCCTGACAGATGATCCACGCTGCTGTTTGTAGGGTCTGTAGAGCTCTGTGTCCTTCAAACGGCTTCCCTCAGGTACTAAAGTGAATCAAAGCCTGTGAACTCTTTTCCCTCTCCTCTCCTCTCCTCTCCTCTCAGTCAATCCCCCCCTTCGTGTGTAACATGACACCATCCACAGCTGAACTGTACTTACCAGGAAGGCAGGCAGGCTCTGCTTTCGCCAGCCTCGCAATACACAGACCACCCCTAATAATAACAGCGCTACACCATTGTGTACTTTACGCTTAGTGAGTGCTGTGGAGTAAGGCCTCTGTGTTAGACCTAAGCCTGTGTGTCTATAAAGCGTCTCCGTTCATTGGCATGCTCGTCGGGGCTGCTGTGCAATGTCATCACTGGCCTTTGCAAGATTCTTCTTCAGATTATGAAGCAAAACAAAATTCGTATTTGTTTAGCACAAGAAACCTAGTATGACTGAATAAAGGTGAAGATTTTAAGAGTTGTCGTCGAGTTTTCTTTTGGAACACATATACCGTTCCCTACTTACAGCTGGGTTCTCTTCCAACAAAAAGGTCACGTCGAAATGGTGGAATGTCAGGATAATCGCACTGGACTTCTAGGTGTGAGACTGAGACTGGGAGACGCGTGTGAGGCTGGGACAGTCACACTGCTATGCAGTACGGCACATCAGACACTAGGTGGCGTAGCGCTACTGGGCGTACAGCCGCCCAAAATGTATTTTTACGTACAGCCGTGGAAAAAGTTAAAAGACCACTTTATATTTTTATAAAATATGTAACAAATCTGCATTTTAAATCCTGGTTTAATCGTGGTTCTGCTGGCAGAAGGCTACGCTGAGAAGCAGGTAGCTTCCATGTTCAAAATTTGTAAGACAGCAGTACACAAGAATAAGGTGAAGCAGGAGACACTGGGAACAACCGGAAACCAGGGGCGAAAGCGATTTTCTAATGCCAGAGATGACTGTTAAATTACTGGACAGTTTCTCATGAATCGGAGGATGACATCAAGTGACCTTCAAACGGAATGGGAAACATTAAGTGGTGTGAAGTGCACTGCTGGGACGGTTCATCTCAGGCTAGAAGCAGTGCTGAAGTCCCACACAGCAAGGAAGAAGCCCTTCATTAATGAGAAACAGGGAAGAACCAAGCTGCAGTTTGCAAAAAATATATATATTATTCACAGACGCACACCAATAAATCAGGATTCCCAATTTGGTTAGCTGGCTGGTATGAGATTTTCAATTCTAGACAAGTCTGCACATGCATTTACAAGCTTGTAAGAGATTTATCACATTAATGTAAATAGTCTGTAGGGTTTGCAAACTACCCCAACGCATTTGATGTAACTAATTCTAGGTTTATAATGGAATTATATAGATTTGCCGTAAGATTTCATGCACAGGAGTCTGAAAGCGTGAGTGTCACACCAGATGTGTGAGTTGGCAACCCTGATAAACTGAGAAGAGTGAAACAAAAAATTGTGCTGTTGTCTCAAACGTACAGCCGTGGAAAAAATTATTTAATTTAAAATAAAAACTTTGTATGCGTGAGTAGATGAAAGTCAGGGACAGTCTGTACTTCATTGCTGTGACTGACTGTGAAACCACAAAACATTTTGATACCTGCCATTACTGAGTGAGTCACATCTTATGTAATATCATTCTCCCCCCCAAGTCGCTCGGCTCCTCAGGAAATCTCCTGGGGGGATATGGAACCTTCTAGAAGTACAGGTGAAAGAGAGCCTCATAATTGGTGGAGACAGGAAGAGGGGGGAGGCTGTGTGCCGAGAGCGAGGGGAGGTTCAGCCGCATGATGGAGTTCCGCTCCACGGCCGGGATGTAGGCGTCACTGCCCAGGACCGAGCTCTGACCCACCAGCGCCACCTTCTCCAGGGAGCGAACGGCACCCCAGCGCTGAGATTCCACACAGAAGGACGTCACCACATTCTCAGAGTTATTCCCTCCAATCACGTGCAGCCTGTCCGTGGTGCCCAAGAAGTACAGGCTGGGAATGTTGGCGTCGGCTCTTGTCAGTGTGGGAAGCAGCTCTGCCCAGGAATCTGAAAAGGCAACACTGAGCCTTCAGAAACAACGGCGTAAGTGTCCTTCCTAACCCACACTGAAGGGAGCTGGTAGACAGTCCCCCTGCGCCCAGTTTGCAGGTTAAAGAGTCCAAGGCCCATTCCCTCCCCTGTCATTGTCCGTTCTGTTCTTGCCATTTTACTGTTAATTGCAACTGTAGTCATTGGCTCCTCAAGAGATACTTAACACAAATGTTTGGAATTCTATGTTACTGTAAAGGTGATACTAATTAAAAAGCACTCAACCAGACTGCTTGTCAATGAACTTTTTAACCCAGAAGAGCTCTTTAAGAACTATAATTTGGGTTTCAGTTTATTAATACTTGAATGGAACGTATTACTTAAAACTACTGGTCGTTTCTGATGTGATATATATTTTATAAATAAAATTATAATCATTATGAAACCAATTTGCAATATTTTTACTGAATTAAGCAAGCGTCCCAATACTTTTGGTGGGCACTGTATCATGTGTGAGGATCAAACTAGCGTGAAATCAAAGAGATGGGTGATTCAGTTTCCTTTAACCCCTTCACCGTAGATTTTGAGTCTGCAGTGTGTATCTTTTCATTGTCCTGTGAGTTTTCTCTAATCCAAAGGCTTGCAATTCAGCCAGACTCAGTGATACCCTTAGTATCTACAATAGTAACCATGCAAATGTCCTGCAGTGGGTTCATGCTGACCTCTGCCCTACTTTCTCCAGGACAAGAATCCAGATCGCTGTGACCTTGACCGAATTAGTCACGGGGTCAGGTGGATGATAATGGAATCTGGATACACCAAAACAAACACAGAGGCGTATAGCAGAGGGACACAGATGAACTTCACCTCGCCTCGCGTCGTACTGCAGGACGAGCGTCTCCCCCGTCCTCTGGATAGTTCCCACCACGTAGACGTAGTGGCCAAGAGCAGCAGTCAGGGGGACATCATGGGAGAGCGACATGGTGAAGCTGAAGTCGTTGAGGGGTAGGGAGGCCACGAACGCCCAGGAGTCCACCCAGGGGTCATAGCGCTCGACGGCGGTGTAGAGGGACGTGCTGGAGTCGGGTGCCACCAGCGAGTCCAGGTACCATCCGCCCACGGCGAAGATGGAGCCGTCACACACGGCGGTGCTAAAGTGGCGTCTGTGCTGTGGAGAGACACGCAAAGGGCTATCAAACCCAACTGTGGGAGGCCATCAGGCTCCCTCTCCACCTTGAAGAAATACCATCTGTTCCAGGAACACCTCTGCTGGCCTGATACCACCCCAAGTTCCCGGAATGTTGTAATTGTTGCACTTCCTGCTGATCTGAGCAGTCGTCTTATTAGGTTCTTGCTTAGTTTGGAAGATGTTGCGTAGCTCCTGTTCCAAATCTGCTCACACGTGTACCTGGGCACTCACTGGAAGCTCAGCCTAGTTGGCCTTACGCCTAGTTGCCCTTACGCCTAGTTGCCCTTACGCCTAGTTGACACCTTGTTTATAATGTACTATTTGTCGCTTTGGACAAAAGTGTCTGCAAAATAAGATGAATGTACTGTAATGTAATTCCTGATTTAACCAAGAACCTGCCAAAGGAACAATCAACAGGTAGTAGCTAAACCTCGCAATGGGCTGTCAATTTACGGCAATTCTGTACACCATAGGTTTTAAACCCTGCTTTCTCCCACAAAGACCTTACAACTCCAATTTTTGAAGGCATTTTACCTTAATAAGAGGAGCTGTAGGGACCCAGGTATGCGTAAAGGGATTGTAGCGGAAGGAAGCCATCTTGAACTGGTAGCCCTTCTTTGCCCTGTGCCTGTAGCCGCCGATGAGGTAGAGGTAATTATACAAAACGGCCACGGTGAAGCTCCATTTGTCAGCTGTGAAGGGGAGCGCTGTCACTCCTCGCCAATCCCCATCCTCGTCGGAGCCCACCAGACTGTAGAGTTGGCGCAAAGCATCTTCCTCCGCACTTCCAGAGACCAGGTTTTCCTTCCTGAGGGCACAGAGCTGGCGGGAGCCTTGGGACCGCAGTCGAATGAGGTCGGCCTCCACCGCAGCTCCCAGGCTCCTGGTCAAATGAGGCAGTTCCAGAAGTCTCCTGCTCAGGTACTGGTACACCGTGTCCCGCATCTCAGTGCAGCAGATCTCCTGTGCAAGGTCCAGGTAGGACCGGCAGTTCTCCGGGCTCAAGCAGTCGGTGAGGGCGGAAAGGCACCTTGAAATGAAAGGCCTCGCCTGAAGGTAAGAGCCAACCTGGATGTGTGCACCGAGGTCTTCCTGAGCGACCTGGAAACGCTGCCAAAAGGTGAATTCCAGAAGGTTGTGGAACACCGCAGCGGGTACATGATCCAGGTGAACGAGTCGCTCCGTGGTCTCCCTCATGCTGGACTGCGAGAGGGCTCGGAAATATTCACTGGAGTCCGACAGCTTCTCCAGGTCAACCTCATGACCACAAAGTGAAGGAGAATATTATTATAATTATAGTTCACCTTCCAATTGGAATTATTTTTACAAAGGTTATAAATTAAATAAAATAAATAGTTTATATGAGGGGTGTTCAATAATTTATCTACCTGAGTGTGAAAGAAAGTAGCAAGCGTGTTGAAACAAGTCTGGGCAGGTTGTGACTCAAGGTTACTCAAGCACAGTTGTGGCTCAGTGCCAGTCTAACATTCCAAGAGACAGGATGCCCGGAAAGGTTAGATTTGGAGCAAAGTTCAGTGATAAAATTTCTCACAGAAGAAGGGAAAAAGCCAAAGATCCATGAATGCATGACTGCAGTTTATGGTGAGTCTGCCCCATCATCCGAAAGTAAAATTTTGGAGCAAGCAGTTTAAGTGGGGTGGAGAGTCCACTGAAGATGACCCTCACACTGAATGGTGCAAAAACGTGCAAAAAAAGTCAAGGATTTAAATTTTGTCAGTCAGATAAATTAAGGTTTCCTGAATAGCTGAAGAAATGGGCATCTCAGTAGGTACAGTTTAGAAAATAATTCATGAAAAGTTGGGCATGTCAAAGGTCAGTGCAAGATGGGTTCCAGGAATGCTGATGCCATGTCAGAAGGCCACGAGTCTCCAGTGCTGTCAGGAGAACGTGAACATGCTTCATGAAGACCAAGTGAATTTTTTTCATCGTTTGGTGACTGGAGATGAGACTTGGGCCTATCAGAGGTCCTGAGTCCAAAATGAAGTCAATGCAGTAGAAGCACAAGTCATCTCCCACCCCAAAAAAGTTCAAGACAGAAACATTTGCAGGCAAAGTCATGTCAACTGTCTTCTAGGAGTTTTGCTTCTGGAGGTCATGCCACATAAGACAACCATAACCGGGGAGAGTCACGCCAACACAATGATCGCTTTGCGGGAGTCAATCAAGGAGATGAGACGAGGAAAACTCACGGCAGGCGTGCTGCTTCTTCACAGCAATGCCCCGGTTCACGTGTCACGTCAGACTGCCATCCGAGAATGTGGGCTCCAACAGCTGAACCATCCACCCTACACTCCTGACCTGGCTCCCTCAGATTATTTCCTGTTCAGAGTTTTGATGAAATCTCTGCGTGGACAGCAGTTTTCAAATGATAAAGATGTCATGGCAGCTGTGATGTCCTGGTTTGAAGGTCAAAGGGGTTAAAGTCATTGCAGGAAAAGTGGATGAAGTGTATGAAGATGTTAGGGGACTACACTGAAAAATAAAACATTTTTTTTTTTTAAACTCTTTTCTTTAATGCTGAGGTACATAGATTTTTGAACGCCCCTCATGTCTGTGTTGTGGGGCACTCAGAAGCACGTGATGCATCGGGACCTCCTTACGTGGAAAGCGTAAGTGCTGGTGTACACCGTCACCATGGTTTCCCCGCAGCAGCCGTAGGTCCTCAGAGCAGCATCAGTCTGCCATGCTTCGCGTTCGTTCCCCTCGGCGGTACCGAGGCCGGGAGCGGAGGGAAACCTCCTCCAAATCCCTATCATGGTGAAAACCCAGCGCACCCAGTCCGAACAGGACTTCAGCCAGTCGCCTACGGGCGGCAGCAGCTGCAGCACGGGCTGGACCTTCGTACTTAATGAAGTTTGTCTGCAGGTTTTCATTTTATGATTATTATTGCTATTATTATCGTGGTACTACGGTATAATTATAGCTATTATCTGACAACCGTAAAAGATGGATTTAATAAATAATGGAGAAGATGATCATTTGCACTTCGTGTTTTATGAAAATCAGCTAGAATCTTTAGTACACCATACTGTGTTATTAACTAGGTTATTTAATAATGTTAATTTGCGCTTGATTCGTACTCGCATAAATCACGGTTTTTGTGCTCAATTATCATTTTGAAGATTTTATGGTAGCGAGACGGGGATGTTACATATATACGTGACCATACGGTTAAATTAGCGAGATGCGCTGGCGGTACCTAAGCCGTCTCCCATAAGAGGATCCCCGGTATGGAAATCACATGCATGCAAGACCGGCACGCAGACCTACTGTTTACACAGTAGAGGAGCAGCTTCAGGCTGCCTTCGGCCAGTTAACAAAAAACTCGCCCTTTACAGACCGCAAACAGCTTCACAAATAAATTACCCACCAATAAAAGAGTATTTCGCACGAAACTCGGCACCAAGGAGGCGATTTTCTAAGCAGACATTTCTCTGTCCCATGACCTGAAAGGCGACACCCCGCGCATGACGCACTTTCCCTACAAGAAATATCTGGGCACCCTGCCTCGTGTTATTTTTAGTTTATTTTCATCTAGGTTATTTTTATCAATGAACTGCAAGAGTTTTACTTCTCATCCCTGCTTGAATGTATGTTGCGTTACTTACATGCTGGTATAGAGTCAGTGTTCCTGTTTCAGGGTCTTCATCTTGACCATCCTCATCTTCAACGAACAACCACAGGTTCTGACTTTTTATTTAAAGCCACATACGGAGTTTAGCCTTTAAAATCACCAAATTCGGCACATGCAAGGAGAACCAGAAATTTAGGGACCGTTTATTAATTCGTTCGAGCAGCCCTGTTTTCAGTGAATAATGATTACATTCTGTCTTTGGACAATGGATCAATTCCAAGATTTTTTAGGATTCACACTCAAATTGGATCCATCAATTGTTTTATCGTAATAACTGAGCAGGCAGACCAAGGATTATAAAACACGATTTATTGAAACTTACAAAAGCAAGGCAAACAACTGAGATTTCATTGACATCAAGACATGCGACTTGGCCGCTTCTGACAGGGCAGTTCATGAGGCATGATTTACACAAACTCATTTAAGAAGCATAACTCCTCAGCATCTATACCACTTCTATTCGGTGTATCATTCTTATGGACACAAAACGGATCTCTCTCACCCCAGAAAATCGGAACAGTCTCGATTAGGAATTTCAGCGAATTAGACACGCAATTAAACACTAATCACCCGGGATTTACACGCCGCACACACACACTGGGTACATTTTCGGGAAAGCCCTTCCGAATTAGTGCATCAAAAAACTGACGTCACGGCCGCGGACAGCACTACCTTTGCATAGTGTGATGCGCGAGCTTCACGCAGCGCTGCTTCCTGCTACTGACAGCTAACACCGTGCATAAGCCTCATATTGGACCCTTTACATTTACTGAATGCGGGACCTTGATGGATTCATTCAGCCACGGCAGTGCAAGATTAAAGCAATTGGGAAACGCTTATTATTTCAGCTACGTGCTGTACACAGGAGCCACAGACGGCGAAATACTTAGCGCTGAATAACTTGTCTGTTTATGTTGCATGTTCACTGCTGAATTTACATAGAGTACATTAATATGGACGGACTAACTGTAACCCCTGATTTACACTGGATGCGTATCCGTTGCGGTGCGTTTCCGACACGGCAGCCGCAGGCAATTGCCGCCAATAAAGTCAATGCATCAGTTTACACCAGATCCGCTGCGTTGCGTCTCCGCTACGTCTCTGTTCCGTCACGCGTCCGGCAGTCCGTCGAGATGCGCATCAAGTCTATTTTTGACGGATACGGATCAAGAACGCAACACAGAGCGCATGCGCCAATTCTCCGTCACATCATGGACGACGAGAAGTTAATTTTTGAGCTGGAGAAACACGGAATTGTGTACGACCCCAGACATCCTTTTTACAAGGATAATATTAGAAAGGAGAAGGCGTGGAGTGAAACTGCAGAAGTTTTGGGATTTGACGGTAAGTTTAATCTTCCAATTAACTATGTAAATACTTGTTTTTTTAATGAAAATAACCTGTACTGTGAAGTACTTGTAAACTCCTAATAAATGCAGTAACCTACATGGGAGTGACACATTATTTTATCCATAGAAACATAGATAAATGTTATGTTAAATGTTATTCTCCCGTGATCATGTGATCTCGCAAACCAGCGGCGCGCCGGATCAGATACGGACCACAAACGCGTCCAGTGCGAATTGGCGGTAAAGGTGCTAAATTTGTATTTGCGGTCTGCGCAGTTTATAGAGAGTTTTACCGTCATACGGACAGAAAACAAGCAATTTCGCTGTACAATGAAATTCTGACTTTGCACATCCTTCATTCACCACAGAAAATAGAATAAGAATGTAAATCAACATGAATACGTAACATAAATATGTTTGTTATTTCCTTAGATAAACTGAACATGCGAGGTCAACAAAACAGAGGGTAATCACATATCTTTCCTTGTTTCCAACGTTTTTTCTTTTTCATAGAACTGCATGAGTAAGATTTCACAGTAGCAAGATGCTTATCACCATACCCCAAATTAAAAGCCAAATTAAGCTGGCCGTTCAAACTTCAAAGCACAAGCCAGCGATTTGTTTATTTTACAAAAAAAATTGTAATCGTTTCACAATTATCCCAACAGGATACCAAAATCCATTGTCACAGAGTAGTCTGCACACTTGCTAATAGCTAAATGTTAGTGTGATCCCAAAACAACCAAACCAGACTGACACCTTGCACAGAACCTGATCATCAAAACAAGCTTTGTTGTGGAAGATTGTACAGTGTCATGTGACACCATACCAACTTCCTGCTTCAGTGATTTAACTTGCGAACCTCTGGCCTACTGGTGAAACTTGAAATAAGAGAAAGCAGAACAACCATGAAAGGAACAGCACCTAGAGGATGGATATCAAGCCATTCTGCGGAGACAAGGGACAAGGCCAAGACGGGATCTACCTGCTTCAGGCCTGCTGCCTCAGATCAGGGCTTACGATTCAGTTTTTACAGTAAAAAGACACCGGGGTGACTCTTCGACGTCCATACAAGGGCAAAAAAAAGAAACACCATCTACTCCGATGGTGAAGATTAGGGATGCTCCGATCAGGATTTTTGCCACCGATACCAAGTACCAATTTTTTGTCATGGTGATCGGCCGATACCAATGCCGATTCTGATGCTTCAAGTTTATATAACTGATATGTAAGCTCTCTGATAACCATTAACTTTTTTTCAGATAAAGTAATACTATAAATGTTGCCTTTGTTATATTTTTGTTATATTTTTACAGTAATAAATCTAATGCAACTATTGTTTTAACAGAGTACTAAATAATCACAAAGAAGTAGTAATAGTAATTCCACACTGGCGATGACATGACTGTGGCGCCAAAACATTTACGTCCCCACTCATCGTGTACGTCCTCACGCATTGACGTCATCAATTGTGATTGGTTCCTAAGATCGGCCAAGTTTAATGAGTACCGATCGAGTCATAAAATGTGATTGTCGGCTGATACCGATCTTCGGCTGATCGATCGGAGCATCCCTAGTGAAGATCAGTCTTTGGCTGAACATGCAATGGACAGTATTAGAGGTTTTAAAGCAAATGCAGGAATGAACAAGTTACAAAAAACCATTTGTTACTCCTCATACTTTTTCTTTAAAAAAGGGTTGCATGCCCTCTGCAATCTCATATAGCCTTCATTCACAGAAAATCAGTATAAACAGACAGAGGCGAAGTCTGTAAACATAACAGGACGATAGAGCTGGTCGCCATGAACGTATTTATGCTACTAGGTACTAACCTCTCTGAACCACCATAAGACACATTTCCTTCTCTCGCAGGGATACTGTTTAACCATTTTTGTGGACGTTGCGGGGGGGGGCACACTTTTGCTTTTATGCAACACTAAAGCACTTGGAGGATAAGTACAAACCTATTGAGCAGAATCCACACCTTTAAAACAGGCTACAGGTACTTTCCAGAATATGTAGAACACATAATGCCTGTTCTATTCACTGTTGTCGGGGGTGGGAGGGAAGGTTAGCAAAACATTTTTCTTTTGCTTGAAGTAGGCATCAAACCGACTCTGTGCATAGTCCTGGAAGGCAACATGAAAAGGTGGCATTAGGGACTCATGACTGTCACCGAGAGCCACCCAGGTCCTCTCTAAAGCAGGTCATAACATCCTGTCTAGCCTAAGGCCAGCTGGGCACAGCCAAAGGTCATCAGAGGTCCCTAGCTGGGTGTTTGGCAGTGGAGGTAGCAACGTACCTGCATGTTTTTACGACTATCTGAGCCAATAACGGTATTAATAGGAGCTCAAAAGAAACCGGCATGCAGTCGGTAAGCTGCCGCCATCGCTTACCATGTAGCCGAACTCAATAGTGGAGATTTTTGCTTGAATAATGGACCACAAACCCCACAGGAAATGAGACGCCAAAGCGTAACTAAGCAACAAAGGAAGGGGAAGAAGAGGCAATAAAAAATGTAAATGCTGAACTCCTGTGCACAAGGCCACTCAAAAGAGGGTTCTGAAATACATCAATATTTACGCAAATATTATATTGCATATACTGATATATACAATACATTACAACTCAACATGCTGTATTTTATATAATTATAAATATTATTCCTACCGATTGGTTTCTAGAATCATGGCTTCCTCAATCCTTGCTTGGTCTTCTTTTGTGGAATTTAAGTATTCACTATTTTCAGACAAATAACTTCTAAAAAAATGCAACTGCAAACAGACAAATATTGGCACACATTTCAGAAGGTATTACATGACAAGTTGAAGTAACTACTACATATAAACAACTTCTGTATCAAATAATGCATAAAATTATTTAGAAGTTTCAGTCTTATCCACTAGGTGGCAGGAGATAGTCACAGCAGGAGTCAGGGTTAATCCTGATCCTGGGGAGCTAATCCATGTTGGCATTTTGTTCCAGCCAGGCAGCGGGTATTTGCATAGAACTAGGGTCGAGTAAACAGTGTAAAATCTAACTTTAATATTCCAATTCATATCTGAGGTACTTGTTTCAAAATCAACAACCAATTAAGAAAATAATCTGGGTTATTTGTACATTAATTATGACTCATATGATGCATGTCGCATGCAACACAGATTCCCCAACTTTCAATACTTTGATGAGTGAGAGAGAATCCAAAAAACTACAAAACGTGGAAATAAACACTGACACACGCTGGTGGTCATCAGGACCAGGCACTGCAGACCCGGAGTTCGTTTCGCAACAGAAACTTATATAGTTGGCACCATTCAGTTGCGCGGTTACAACTACGCTTCTGGGAAACGGCACCGAGTGTGACGACTCACCTGCTGCTCTCTGCTGGGGTAGTTTTCCAGCTCGGCCTTGAAGAACGGCCACTGGTCATAGGTGTAGTCGTACACCCACTCACAGAAATGGTTACCAAAGTCGAAGCCCCTAGAAGTGAGAAAGGGTCCCATTTACTGGTGCCGCTGAAGTTCTTAGGGCCCACCTGAGGAGGCTGGCTGGCCTATGGAGGTCACCATGGTAACCACCACAATATAAACCATCCCCGACCCACGATGCAAGGTGCTATCTTACCTATAATTATAGCTGCTGTACTCAAAGTCAATAAGCATCAGCCTCTCTGTGGACGAGGCAGTCCTGTTGTCTAACATAAGGATATTACCTTAGAAGAGAGAAAAGGGAAACGGGCAAGACCGACCTTAGGCCACAAGATCAACTGGGGATACAGTAAACAGCAGACAAAAAAAATATATCAAAGTTAGGAAAAAAGGGATATATCACACATGGCACTGAGAAACTCCGAGAGCGGATGAGCTGGTTAGGGACTTCAGTGGCCCTCCGGTGGCAGACTTTACATTACCTTCCTGAACGTCATTGTGGCAGAACACCACCGGTGACGGCGTGTCCATGAGCAGCGTCCTGGTCGGGGACACACACGCGGAATACCACTGTGACCTCAGATCAGTGACAGTCACCGTGCAACACTGTTGCCCTAAATGATGCAGCTTGCAGAAATGTGGACATACGAAAGTGAAACTAGTGCAAAAATAAACACACACATCTATACTATATACTGTGTGTGTATAGTGAACAACTTATGGAGAGGCTCAGTACACAAGCACAGGCTGGACACCTAGAGAGGGGAGGGTGGATGCTGTAGTAGTGCTTCCGTGCAAATGACACCAGCGTATAGTCTCTGTGATTGATTAAGCTGCCTGGCAACTCATGCAAAGACCTTATATGCACTTGTACGCCTCCATTTCCTGAAATCGGATAGGAGGAACTGGCTTGGGATTCTGGACAGTAGTAATATTTTATCCGAGCTTTGCCACACACAGACTGGACCGGAGCACCTCTCACCGGAGACTCTCCAGCTCCTGCTGCAGGTTGTACTTCATCAGCTTGCTGAACTTCTTCACATGAGCCTCGCGGACAAAGCTCAGCTTCAGTATTTGATCCATGTACCTGACAGACAGCAAGGAGGGCAGGCAAACTACGCTGTGAGTCCTGTCAGGGCTCTGAAGTCTGGGCTTCCACTGAGACGGTTTCACCAGGGAGTAAAACATTTTAAATACCCTGAACGCTTTGCTCTGCTCTCTCGCTCCCAATGGATCAAAGCAAAGTTTTAAAAGCTTCACCTGCAGTTCCAATCCAGCAGAGGGCCAGACTCAAGTAAATACCAGGAATAGGTGTGACTCATCAGAAGCCAGGGAGGATAGAAAGGATAGAAAAAACACTGGACAGTAGCTCTCCGGGACGGGAGTTGGAGACCCCTGTTGTGAATTGAGTCTGGCTCTCAGCTGGATTGGGACTGCAAGTGAAGGTTTTAAAACTTTGCTTTCTGATTTACAATTTATCAATCTCTCTTATCCAAAATGACAAGCATTTTTGAGAGCACAGGGTCAGACAGCCCCTGTAGCAGCTAGGGGTTAAGGACCGTGCTCAAAGATCTAATGGTGAAATCATTCTGTTGACCTTGGGATTTGAACCCACAGCCTTCTGATTACAGGAATAGTGTTCTAACCCGCTGAACCACACACTGCCCGCAGTGCAAGTGACAAGCCTTTAGAGTTCACACACTAGTAAAGGGGGAGCTTGGAAAAACCAATGCGAATGACTTCTGCCCTCCCCCCCACCCACCTGTCTATGGTCCCAAACAGCCACTTGGGCTCTTTGTTGAAGGGCATAACCATCCTGTGGAACCGAGCCATCTTCACCGCTATCTCTGCAGAAAGTTCTGGAATTCGGAGCTGTTCGGTCCGCAGGCGCTTACTCTGAGTGGGAGG